TTAAACAGATTTTAGAAAATGTTGAATAACTAGTAATCCAGTAATTTAAATTTAGCAATTTTGCTACCATCTGATCCGTCTTGACGAGACGATTCGAATGGTATCCAAACCATTAAATTTCGTTCACTGTATCATGAGAAATAAAGAAAATTTCTAAAATAGGGCACTTATATGTAATTATTTTACCTTTTTGGGCACTTATTTGTAAATTCCCCATCAATCAATGCTCGAAACTCACCGGTTCCAATCTCTATTCACTTTGCTAAAAAAAATATAATTTTTCATTTTCCCGAAATATCGTCTAATCGATGCAAATTTTTTCAATAAGCCATTTATCCACAACTACCATTCTCCGAACATTAAAACTATGTGCTTTTTCTATATTTCATGTCGGCGAATTAGTTTGATCGGAAAAAACATTTCCATCAACAAAATGGGCGGTCAGAAAGATGTCTTGTCAGAAAATAAGGTTATCGGTTATGGGATCAGAAAAATGATACTTCGGGGAAAGTGTCGTCAGGAAATTGAGTCACAACGCTAAAGGGATGCTTCGGGAAAAGTGTGCGTCAGGGAAATTGAGTCACAACGCTAAAGGGATATCAAAATATATTTATTCAGATAATTCATATTCAATATATGATAAAATGATCTATACATTTTTCTACTAAACAAGTAATCAATGATACTAGTTTTTAATTGACTAAACCGATTAAATATTTAAAAATAAAGTATCTAAAAGTATATGATTTAAGTTACATACGTGACATAATGTCTTAAAGAAAAAATGATAAAGGATTAATAAAGGTGGCAAAAGATAAATTGAACACAATTCCAGAATTATAAATAACAATTGGCTTCCATCGACTACTGCGACTGTACTGTCTCTTCCCACTTTTTTCCTGATGCAATATCTTCTTCATTAATTGAATCATAAACGTATGCGATTGTAGGCCTATTTTTTGGGTTTTTATCTAGGCATTTCGTATAAAGGTCAACATAAGATTGTGTGGACCCAGCCACCGGTTTTTCCCGTCTACCTTTTACTATATTGATGTATGCCGTCGTGAGATTATCATCTGTCAATAATCCATTATTTGAAACTACCCACATTATCATACCCAGGCTATATATATCAGACGAGTATCCATATACTTCACCATACTTTGCATTTAATTCATTTAATAAAACAGGATCCATAAATTGGATGCATCCTTTTATTCCCTGACTCGATACACTTTGACGAGGAACAACTTTAGAAAGCCCAAAGTCTGTAATAAGAACCCTAATGCCATCTTCACTGTTTCGATCGCTTTTAATAACTAAATTTCCGGTGTGCTAATATAGATATTTTTTTATTGGCTATTAGCTTTGATGTAATTAACCATTAAGAAAATAAAGAGCTCACCAAATCACGATGTAAAATTTCATTATCGTGAAGAAAATATAAGCCACAAGTAACCTGTCGTGCAATATTAATTTTTTGTTTCCAGTTCAAATCATTGTGAAGTATCAAATAATCGCGTAAATTACCGCAATCTGCATACTCTAATACGAGGAAAAATATTTCTTTATTTATTGATACACCTAAAAATTTGACCACATTATTATAACCTATTACACTTGACAAGGAATTTTGAATAGAATGAAAAGCTTTAATCTGTTTAAATAAAGTATAAATGTTTAACTGATCAAAATTTAGATTTGCGCATGAAAAAGTTACAATTCAATTTACCTCTTTAACAAGCTCTTCATTCTCTGATTTTGCCAATACTTCTTCATTAGGTATAACTTGTTTTAAAATAATTTGAATTTTCCTCTTTTTCCACTCGGCTCTTGTAACAACTCCAGAACCTCCATACCTAACATGGACCGGGTCTCCAAACTCTGAATGATCGATAGAACAAATCTGCTTATCCTTTATCATCCTCTTAATCCATTCAATATTGGTCTCCCCATTATTTCTTTTAGTAGATAAAAAATTATTACTTGACATGTTGAATACAAGAATTAATAACGATAAGTACCTCTAAGCTTGCGCAGATACCTTTTATAAAATAACCAGTTTATTGTCGCACTAATTTACTGTTTTAGTTCCATTGAATCTACTAATTTTAGGGCTTTACTTGTTTGTGTCGGTAATACAACCCTAAAAAGGAAGCAAAATTGATCCTATTAATAAATCCTTAACGTTAAAACTTATAGCTTCAATCAAATTTGGTAAAAAAAATTTTTAAAATCGAAAAGCATTGCACACATGATTTAAATTGGATGAACCGGTCTGATGTACCGGAGATAAGCATTTATTATCTTGCGA